TTCTCCCATAACTCTAATTTCCTATTTTGTCTCTGCATGGCATCTTCATCTCTAATAAACTCTTATAGTATTTTTATCTGGATCCAACTGTCCTGGAAAGAAAATGAACTCTACTCTTAGGGAAATGGCAGAGGATCTCTCATACAGACATGCCAGCTTATTCCTGCATCAAAATCCTACAGAAAACAAAAACACCAGAAAAAAAATCAGTTTCTATTGGCTAAGGGATATACTGCAAGTACTTCAAGTGCCTATTCCAGACATGCTTAAACCCAATGTCTTTTCTATATGCATAACTATTTGTGCCACTTGTGCAGTAACTCTTACCTGTTTGAAATGTTTTTTCCTACACAGCTCTGCAAATAATCAGCATATCACATTTGACTATTTTTAGGCTTCAGTTGTACAATTGCATTAACTAGAAAACTCTATAGACTCCTAAGTTAATAGAGGTTGCTAAGATGTCTGCACCTGGCTTACAGAGTAAGAACACATTCTTTAGAACATTAACAACTTCTGGCAACAAGGATACCTAAATTTAAGCAAAGAAATTGATATTTGAATCCTTAGAGTAATATTCTCTCACTAAGTAATGTGAAGAAATGAGCTGATTTAATGATGGATCCCATTTCTAATATTTTTTTTATTACTTTCAACCAATTTTACAGCATGAATGAGTGAGTAGCAGAAGGGGAAATCCAGAGATATGAAGAAAATATTTTTTTCCTCTGTCCAGTACAATCATGAGAAAACAGGCTAACAGGGTAGTGTGCAATTTCAACCTGTGTGTGTGGACAACAGGATCACATTCTTTATTCTCACTTTCCCACTTTAAAAAAAGTCTCAATATAATAATCAGATGTGACAGTTTCATCCCATCTATCTGCAAAATAGAAAATCAGTCTTGCAGAAAGATATGACAGTATTTTATTTTCAAAATATATTAATATGTTTCCTATAAGCTTGCAATTTTAGTACCTATTCCCTCCCCTTCCTTAACCCCTTGCCACGATGGGTAATTGTTGGTCTCTTTCTCCCCATTTTTGAGACCTTGTGTCCTTGGTTCAGCAGTAGCAGTCATTTTTCTCCTTCTTAGCAGGTGGTGCAGTGCTGTGGTTTTGACTTTTAGCCTGGAAACAACACTGATAACACCGATGTTTTTAGCTGTTGCTCAGTAATGTCTAGTCTGACCAAGGACTTTCCGAGTCTCATGCTCTGCCAGGGAGGAGGGGAAGCCGGGAAGAAGCAGAGACAGGACACCTGACCCAAACTGACCAAAGAGGTATTCCACACCACAGCACATCATGCCCACTATATAAACTGGGGGCAGTTACCTGGAAGGGCTAGATCACTGCTTGGGTCGGGCTGAGTATCGGTCGGCAGTTCTATTCTCTTCCCTTGTTATTTCCCTTATCATTATTGCTATTGGTAGCAGCAGCAGCAGTTACTGGACTGTTCTTATCTCAACCCATGGGAGTTACAGTCTTTCAATTCTCCTCCCCATCCCTCCGGGAGCAGGGGGAGGAAAGGGGGGAGGGAGCAAACAGCTGTGTGGTTTTTGGGTTACCAGCTGGGCTTAAACCATGACCCCTTACAAAAGATGTTCACAAGTAATGCTCAATAAATTTTATCTTTAAGAACAAACAATAGCTGAAAAGTTACTGTGAAATCTCAACTTTCACTTTGAAAGAAACAGCAGCATTGTACCAATGGCCAATAATGGAAAAGAAATACGTAAAAGAGTACCTTCACTTCCAAGCCATGTTTTAGCTAGTCCATCATTATAAGTATTTCCATGAATTTAATAATAGCACCAATATTCAATATTCTGAACTTAATGTAATAAATGAAGGGTGATCACATTACCCAGTTTTAAAAATTGCTTTACATAATGTAATCACTTACTTGCTCTAATTTAATCTCACTTTACATAGTTTAATAAGTGAATGCTGATCATTTGACATAATTGAATAAGTAGTTCAGCCTCATTTTCTGTACTTAGATCACAAAAAAGGCTGGGTTTTGTCTCATCTTCTAGGATGGCATTTTGAGATTTGACAATTGGGTGCCGTTTCTCGCTAGTGAGGAACCTAGCCCAGGCCTGCAAGCTGAATATTTCAAGAAAAAACACAGAGCATAACAATGCAACCTCCTGCTTCATCACACAGGCAGAAAACCTTCCTAGACTATAAAAGCCATAATTTCAGCTGAAGAGTAACTTTAATTGATCTAACAATATCTACAGGAAATAGGCAGGAACTGAGTCTTCAACCATGTTCTAGCAAAGCCCAGATCGTTCTACTCTGTATTTGCGATACAGAATTTAATTTTAAACTTAAAAGATAAAACAGATCTATGAAGGACAACTCATAGTTCCAGAAGCTCAATTATGTTCTGCTCAGAATTAAAACAAACCATAATTCACATGGCAGCAGGGAAGGGTATGCAGGGGAAAGACTCCCTTTTGGAAAAAAAATGACAGGAACACACAGACAGGAGGACCAATGGACATACAGGAAGACAAAGAAGAAACTGTATAATTTCAATATGCTCACCATTGGGGATGGTGAAGGAGTCAGAATGCAGCAATCAGTTTCAAAATGGCCAAGGCCTAAAGCTGCAGCCAGTGCTCTCTACCAAGTTCGGTGGTTCAGTCAAAGAGAGACATGAGAGTAAGAGGCTGTTAAGGGGCTGCAATGATGACTTTTACCTTTCAACATAAATTTTTCCTTCTCAATACTGATTTCTAAGAAGACATAGTGAAATCACCAATTCACACATGTACTATATGGGTTTCAGTGTACCCTGCAAAAGAATGATCACAGAATATGTTTCCGTGTTTGCACTAAATGTAAGTTTCTCCTTTCAAATCCAAAAGAACACAGCTTCCAGAAATATTTACTGTTAGTCATTTGCTGCCTGCCTACACAGCTGCTGCAAAACATCTGGAGTTCTTTTCAGAATAAAGCATACAATGTATAGATTGCAATAGTAACCAAGATCTTATGTATAAAAGACATATGCTGGTGTTGTTAAAAATAACACCATTTTTATTTCAAAAAGAAATTAATCCCGTTGAGAAGTAACTATTTAGAATCAAACTGCCCAAGACAACACAACCAGAAAGGGGTAACAAACCTACTGTTTTGTCTAGCAACTCTATTAATAACTATTTCTAACTCTAGATCTGTCCCATGTATCCTGCTACTCTCTACTTTGTTTCTACCAAGTTTAAGATCCAATCTTTCAGAGGCACATCTAGTATGCAGGGGAAAATACATCATTCCTAGAAGTAATTTCTTGCCATTAACTCCCAGATATATTTTATAGATACATATATATTTCATATTTACCTTATAATTTTGTTAGTATAAAGCAGTAGAAGGAACCATGCGTGCTTTGGACTTTTAGCCAATTGAAGAGTAGATGAAAACATCCACATTAGTAAGTCTATTCTTTAATCACCTTGAAATTGCTTCTTTCCCCTTAGTAATGAATAACAGGGGCATTCCTCTTTTTTAAGAGATTCAGTCTCCGAATATGTGAAGAAAGTTGAAAGGAATAAGAAGTAATCGGAGAAGAAAAACGTCCCCCCTCAGAAAGACAGGTGGTAAAAAGGCACCAATCCACTCCACTCTTCCACCTTCCTTTTTTTAACAAACTCAATTTCTTCCTGGGCCAGTTGGTGTCACTTCCATTTCATTGTGTCTTTGTAATATCATAGCAATAACTTTGCATCACAAAACATTTCTCCACAAGGGTACCACAAAATCATAAAGACCCAAATGCAGTGCTTAACTACACATATTTTACTCCCACATGCAAACAGAAAGAAATCTTTTCTTCTGTCATGTTACTCAAGACATAGCTTTTTTGCTCTGTTGTTTTGGTTTTTTTTTAAGAACTGTTCCTGATTAATGAGTTATTTTCATTTATCATTTACCAAGGTGCTGGGGTTTTGGGGGTGGAGTTTGTTTGTTTGGTTCTTTTTAAAGACCAACTTTGTAGTATATTTTGTTTGGTTTCCATACAATTGTTAATAAATAAGATAGGTCAGCTCTCCTGACCTATCTTTTATCCTCCAACCAATCTCTGGGTTTTTTTCCATGGAAGTATGTACCTGGTGATTTGGGGTCCGAGATTTGTCATAAAGTACCTGACATTTGGTAGAAAATTTGTAAAATAAATAATAATGATTTATCTGGCTATTACTTTAACTGCCAAAGGAGTTCCCCAGTCCAGTGTTTTTTGTGACGGAGACAGTTTCCTTGTTCCCAGACTGGTAAAGCCTGGTGTAGTTGTAGACCCCAGAGATTCCCTACATATGTTTACCAAAGGATGCAGCTGCTGCAGTTCCCATTCCCAGGTCAGCAGTGGGGCTTGGAACACTTTCCAAATAGACACCTACTTCCCAGCACACACAGCCATGCTCTGTACAAATAGAGCAGAGCTTTTACCAGCACCTCCTTAAACATCAACAGCACTAACATAAAGAAGAATATGGATAGCCCATATGCTGACTGAGTCTCTCTCACCATATGCAGACTAGAACAAGCCCCACAGAAAACAGGTAAGAAGATTTAGTAAGAGTAGGACAGACATACCTTAAGAAAAAACAGCATATAGCGGTTGTCATCAAGCATGCATATAACCCCACATTTTTTTTCATGAAAGAATTGAATCATTCCTTGTTTTGACATGAAATAAAAGAATAAATACAGACTTTCTTCTTCCTCGTTAAGTGTGAGGTTGCTCCTGTGCAACTCCTGAGAATACTGTATATCCTGCTGTATGTCACCTTATTAGTTACTCTGCTGCTGGTAAACCTATCTTCTCCATTCAGAATGCACACTCACACCACTTCAAAAGCTGACATTTATTTTTACTGAACAGCAAGTTAGTTTTTAAACCATTGTTTGAAGGAGAAAAAGAAAAAAAAAAAGTGTTAAGCTTTATATCCAAAGGGCTTCTTTTAGAAATACCAAAATATCAAATACAGGTTGGAAGGTGAAGGAATCTGCTCTTTAATTAGTCTACAAGATTCTACTACAGTTAAAACTTATTCCAAAAGCTCAGGTCATGACCTCACAACATGTTCCCCTAAGCAAAAAATACTTCTACCTACTGCTTCCCCTCCTCTCACATACAGTAGTTTCATGTTTGCACATGCTGAAGACCCTCCCATCCCTGCTGTGTCTTCCAGCAATTAATTTTTTCAGGCACAGGATGCTTATCAAACAAAAGCTGTGGGAAAACTGACCTAATATTGTAACATTAAGGAGAAAAACAAAATAAAATTGATTGATCAGTTTGATTCCCATGCAAATATACTTTACAGGGGGGAAAAAAAGGGTTTTTCTTCCAGGGCAACAGGAAAGTTCAAGGAAATGTGCAGAAGGTTCAGCAGTGCCGCCTGTGCCTACGGGCTTATGAGAAGGTAGATGATTACGGAATTTGGAGGTCATAGAAAGGCTCATGCCTCATTAGGATTCCACTACTGACAGCACCCAACAGCCCTAAGACACCTAGCACAGTACAGCACCAAAAAAAGTACAGCATAACAAAATGCAACTGATCTTCCAGCTTCTTTAGACAGCCTTCCTGAAAAAGCTGCTCCAGATGGCCTAAGTCACTTCCACAATTAGAATACCTCTTACAGCAGCTTTCAGGGACACAAGCTGTTCTACCCAGAAGATGCCAAGAGGCAGATGTTGCCTTCAGCCAGTCTGTGCAATTTTGGACCCCACAACACTGCATCTTCCTCTGTGCAATATCCATAGGACCCTGGGGGTATGTTCCATTGTACTGATAGAAGAGGTGACCCGCAGTGCTCTTTAGTTCAGAAGCCATCCGAATAGAGGAGAACTGTGCCAGAACTGCTGAAGACATTTCCAGGCAAAAAAGGACAAGCAGCAAGTACATGAGAGCCCCTTGTTGACAGCGGGAGTTCCTAGTAGAAGTAGAGACAGCCAAAACTCCAGTAGGTATCAAGATGAGTGCCATTGCAACAGCCAGCCAGCCAAGGAGAGACAAGAAAGACTCCTGAAATAAATATCCATAGTTCTTGTGCATCTGTATCTCGTAAACTCCACCAAACACCAGAGCTGCAGCAATGCCCCAGAAGATGAAGGCTAAGAAACTGAGTACCAGTTTAGCAAAGGATCTGAGCCAGGATTCCTCAGAGCACCAAAAAAGGGAAGGCTGCAAAAATGACACAACTCTAACTCCCTCCATTCTTCTCACTCTTAGCAACACAAATGCTCACCACCACCATTTAAGAGGCTCCCACCACACTTACCCAGGTGCAGCAGATTAGATCTCCACCCAAAAACAACTTGCAAAAGAGCAACGCTGGTGAGACTCACTCTGCACAAAGAATAGGCAATGCTTCAGCTAACTACATGCTGATGCTTGCTCACTGTAGCCTGCAGAAGCCAGGTGTGTGCTAAGCTTGCTGTGGAGAGGTCATCTACTCTGCTGTCACTGGAGATGTTTGCATTTGGAAGAGGAAGGCAGCCAAGAAAAGGCTGAACCCCTTGTTTTACTACATTCATGTGTTAAAGAGCTGGGTATAGAAAAATAGTCAAGGTGGTAGCCAACTGTGCTAGCCCAGATCAGACTGCCCAAGTGAAAGAGGCAATCCAACTATCATCCTACTGCAGTAGCCAAGATGGCAACAAATGCACCAGTCAGTCATTAATGAAGAAATAGTTTAAGCAGAGCTATTCAATCAGGGATCTCCACGGGTAACACTCACCTAAATTCATTATAATTCCCATGCTTACCACTCATTAGATTTTATGAGGGGTATAATTATGTCAATAATATTTTGCCCTTTTTTATTCAGCAACATTTCTGCGTAGGTAGTATCCACTACTCAAAATGCCAGGATGAGAAATCCCTAGCATTACAGACTAGTACCCCTCAGTTTGCATCACTATTGATTTGATTCAGTGATGTAATGACTGAATACAAACAGGGAAAACTGTAACTTTTCCTTGTGCTTAAAGAAACCAGATTACACACCCACTAAATGTCTTCACAACAATCTCAATAAGAATTAATACCACTTATCAGCCAGCAGAAGAGCATTATTACTCACAATGTTAATCAAACATGATACAGAGGAGCTGAGCAGGATGGGAGACCTGCATAAAACTTGGCGCAGACAACAAGAACAGATTCCAAAGGCCAACAGTGGTTGCCTAATCATCCTGATGAAGTCCTGTTACATCTCTTGTTTCTCAAGATTCAGAGAAGGGCTAATAAAATAGGCATACATAAGGGAGAACACAGATGAATGATCCTCTTTTTCAGAAACATTACCACCTGCAGACCCTGCAGAAAATCAAAGCTGATGCTCAGATCCCTGGAAAAGTCTCAGCAAAACCAATGATCCCACATCTGTCAGACATTTTACAAGGACTTATTGCTGTTATATATACTATGCACACACAGATGTTGGGCTGATTCCCATCAAAATTTCTTTCTGTGTGCTGTACAAACATGTCATTAAGGCTAATTATTTTGGAATGAGATAAACTGCTTTATTATTTTTAATTTTGCCATTAACAGTAATTAACATGCAGTGATTAACTTGTTAAATCTTAACCAAACATTTCTTTCAAAGCTGTTCTAGTATGTGTGTTTTTCTGCAACTCTTCTCAGAAGTCTGTGTCTGCCCTCTCTCCTGTTCTGCTTGCTGCTACCCCCAGCCCTCCAGCTGTGTTGGTTTTGCTGCCATTCACTTATTCTCTTGAATGCCTTTTCCTCTCATTTCTATGTTCTGCATCAGGGAGAGTGATGGGGAGAACAGAAAGGATTTCCCTTCATGTTTGTGCACGCAGGCAAACTACACTGATTTAACGTTTCCATGATGCGGTAGAAACATATCAGAAAAGTGCAAGGAAACATATCATAGGCATATCTGAAAATTCTGTGAGAAGTAAAACTGGTTATAGCTAGTTTGCAGACTTTGTGAAAAAAAAAAAAAACAAACAAGTCAAACCAAACCCAAATATATGAACCAGCTTCTATTCCTTTCTGCCTCCCCAGTGCTTATAAAGCTTAATGCGATAGTAAGAAATTAGTTACAAAACTGTTTGCTTTTAATGCAGTCTCTGGCTCAAACTGCTTACAGAACAATTTTAATGCACTTCTTGTTTGTTCCAGCCAGGGTAACTCCCATCCCCTCCCTGAACACAGAGGAGAAAATTTCAATGGTTATCAAAGCCTAGAAATTCTTATCTTTCTAAAGATTCCCCAAATATAATAACTTCCCGTTTACTTAAATCTGGTACATTGGACCACTGTGAGGTCTTTCCATTTCTTTCATATGTCTGTGGAACACAGTACAGGAGAGGGAGAGGGGTGAAGCAACTGCTACAAATGGAGGGGTATATGCTGCCACAGGCTCTGACCCTTCCACTGGTGCCTTTGTGCTGGCTTCGTCCCACACAGACTGCTGTGAGCCAGTTCACATGAGCAGGGAGCCATCTGCACACAGCCTCCTCCTGAAATCAGGACTTCTGTAGTAGTGCAGCAGACAGGAGAACATGCATGCCTGCCTATCCACCACAGGAATCAGAAGCATCATTGACTAGTACCCAGTTCCCAGGTAAAAGGTCTCAGTGCCCAGTGCCACCTGGAGGGATGGAGCGTACTCAGCACTATGAAAGAGGAAATTGCTGCAGTGGGGATTAATATTTACAGGGCGGTCTAAACCCCCTCACCTACTTTGCACTAGTCAATGCTTCTCCTCAAAATGTCTGCTCTCTGGTAAGACAGGCAAGACAAAGGACAAGAAAGATGTGGAACTTGTCCCTGAAGTACCAAAAGAAGCTAACTGCCAACCTCAATAGCACTGCACTAAGTAATTTTACCTGCAAATGTAGCCAAAACCTTGAAGAAAGCCGTGAATGAAGGAGCCTATAGGAAAGGCAGAATAGGAAAGCTCCTCTGTTTTCTTCCTAGTAGTAAACAACATAACATGATAAATGTCGTCCCTGTCTTCTCTGGTGTTGTTTCTGCTTATGAACTGATGAGTACTGAAGTTCAAATGTGGGTGTAACAGATAATACATCTTAGATAAACTACTTTCTGGAATGCTGCTGAAAGTATAATCCTTCAAGTTAATAAAATGTCTGCTGTGTATTCTTTGCATTCATTGTTCCAGCAAACCATGACTGACTTTGGATGGCTGTGATAAGCCAGGAAGGTCAAACAGCTTCATTCCACATGAGCCCTGGAGTGAGAGAGTCATCAAGTCAATGTTGTGGTTGTATGAATGCAACATAGGCTGATGACTAGACTCGTTTTAAACGATGTAGGCTGTCATACAGAGCACATCTGAGATCTTGCTGTAATGGGCAACAATTCAAATCTAAGTGGCCAGCTAGACCATTCAGACTTGTGTGAACAAGAAGAAACCAAGAGGTGACCATGGAACCAAGGCACAGTTAGACAAGCCCATCTTCTAAGTTTAGTACAGACCTCATATAAAATGAGACAAGATCTCAAAGCCAGACCCTCAGCTACCACATTCGTTGTCACAGTGGCATCACAGAAGAGCCCAAAAGCTGCCTCAGAAAAACAGGCGCCATTTCCACTGTAACCTGTACACACATCAAGCTACTTTAGTTGGATTTTGTAGGTGAAAATAAAGAACTCTGAAGAGTTTTGGCTTGAGAATTTAAAACATTTTTTTTAAGGTTTTATTAGATTGAAGCACACCATAGCATAAGTGTGGTTAAGCACAGGTTAAAACCTTTACTGGAACACAAAGGTTTTTATCAACTTCACCTACCCCAGCCTTTTACATTAAGCTTCCCTCCACCCTAACCACCTTCCTGGCCCCTTCAGTGGGTGGAAGTTGGCATGTGAGCCAGGAGGGCTGGCAGATCCAGAAAAAGTGATAAATGCGTATCATTGGTATCACTCTTTCTTTCACTGCTCCTGACCTTGTCTGCTGGCCCTGTCACTATATCTTTCCTAAGCTGAAGAGACTTCACACACAGAACTTTTCCAGTTCCCAAGAAAAGCCCTGACTGCATGTAAAGTGATAGAAAAAAATAATGATATTTGGTGGGGGGAATGGTTCTTCTCAATCAGACCATTCAAATAATGATGGGTACTCAAAACACCACACAGGAGAAGGACTGGTTACCAAGTGGAAAGCTATTTCTAGGAAACTTGAAAGCTGCTAAGTCTATTGATTCCTCAGGAATAAAAAGCGTTACTTATGAGACATGTCATATTATAAGATCATTCTGACAGCCCAAATGCAAAAAGGATGAGCAACCCTGGTTGGACCCAGATCCTACAGTCACTTCCATGCACAACCAGTTGCCATAGTAACCAAGGTCAGATGCTATTGCCTTGCATGAGACTAATAACTATCATGGAAAGCTTGAAGCAAGCAGAGGAGATATGATTGCCATCTCCTATTCATGGGGAAAATGTACTCTCCACAAGAACTGATTTACCATTGTGCAGGTGTTTCAACTAGAGCCAGTCAGATGTTTACCCCTGGTTCTGTTTGCCTGGCCAAAAGCGGCCTTTTTTGTAATTGAAGAACCACATCAAATGCTTTCAGGGCTGCCATTTAGTTTTGCTTTTAATGTTGCAGGTTTTCATTGGTACTGAAAATATTAAAAAACAAATGTTGAATGTTTGGTGTTCTCATGTTATTTCCCTCTTTCTTTCTTTTCATGAGTTGAACACAAGAAAAAGACTAAAATTCTTTTTTAATAAATTTTTATTTTTCCCCTCCTTCAGTCTTGGTTTGTTACAAAATGTCTTGAGACTGGGATGAATACTGACTACAAAGGAAAGAAAAAAGAAAAAAAAAAGGCATTGTCTGTCTTTACATCGCTTCAGAAGTTGGAGAAGAATTTAAAAGACACAGAATGGCAAAATGAAAAGGAAATTAAAATTAATTTTTTTCTTACCCTTCATTTTATTGCAGCTGGTAATAAAAACAGACTGGAGGAAAAAGCACTTCATAAAAATTTTCAAAACTTAAGAAAGGGCAGCACACTGAAATTCAAGTCACCTTGACTTTTAAAGTATTTTGTGACTTTTTGTGACTTTTTTTTCAACCATCACTAACTACAACATTTTTCATGTGAATGCAGTGTTCTTACTTGTTCTTTCAAACCATATGCAAGATTTCTGTGCACTTTCTGAAGTTATAAAAATACTTTTAGTATAAAATAGAGGGCCTTTAATCATTA